CCAGCATTCAGAACATGGAGGCCAATCACTGTCCCCCAGACATCCGCGGAGTGAGTATGATGTCATCCGTGCGGCGGACTGGAGCTGTGACAGGCAGCCGGGTCACAGGCGGCTCCATTCTACCCCTTCTATTCATTCTAGCTAATCTGAATCGTTCAGTTCCATTATGTCATAAACTGTTCGATATCTGAAGCAGATGATATGATCGTCTCTGATCACAGGCCTCAGTTATTCTGATAACTCTTGTTCTTGTTGACTGTTGCACACAGCAGCAGCCATTAAGGTGTGTTTGGAGTCAGAACTCTCCCTTTTTATCTCTCTGAGGCTCAAACATTCAGATATCAGCAAACAGCCATGAGGCCTCAGTAGGAAATATGCTGCAGTGCAGATCCAAGCAGGATCTCCTGGAAAAAGGTCTGTAATGAAGAAAATCTCCATCAACTAGCCTTCATCTGAAGAACATCTCAGACTCTAATAGTCATCAGATATTAATAAATATCTTTCCTCAGGACAATAGTGGCGTCATTCAGAGCTACGCCGTTAGCGATATACAGCCTGGGCTTCTGACTTTTCTGCAATAGCTGTTGTTCAGCCTTTAGAGGGCAGCACTGAGCCCGCCTAAAGACCACATCCACATAACTGAAAAAACTGACATGAAAATGTAGAAAGAAGCACTGAAACAGCCGCAATAGACCCAATTAAAGGTCAGCAGAGACAGTTTAGGGGTGAGTTACCCTTTAAGAAGCCCCAAACCTTTGGAGCTAATCGTCGAATAAAGAGATCACAGAAGAAGAACGGGTCGGGTCCGTTCAAAGCAGGGCGGGACCAGAACGGGCCGGGTCCGTTCAAAGCAGGGCGGGACCAGAACGGGCCGGGTCAGCCAGAACTTCCTAACAGAACACATTAAGGGAGAAACCCGGTTCTGATTCTGCAGAACACCGAGATGAACAGAGTATGACTCGGACTCGAAGCATCAGGAGCGGCCTAGTCAAAGTCTGAAGGAAACACCCTGGACAGCGTCCAACGTTCTAGGACAGAACCGGATGGCTCCACGGTTCTGGTTCCTTTATACACGGAACCAAGATCAAAGCTGACCTGGAACCTTTGAGCTAAACGCTGAAAAAAACCTGAAAGAATCCTCCTGGTGTTTGCTGGTTCAGATCCCTGACTGACAGGTCAGCAGGAGACAGATGGACAGAGGGACAGACAGCGAGACAGACAGCGAGACAGAC